GCTGCTGCTGCTGCGGCGACTACTCATTACTGACATACCCTTCCAACCCTCTGAAGGTCCCGGAATCGCTGTCCAGCACCACAGAACAAGACCGAAAAAGCAGGGCACTCTCGGAACCCTCCTAGTTGGGGAGTTTAATAAAGCAGGGGACCCGTATGTGGAACACTAAATAATTAGTAGGGTCCTGACCGCGCTGACCGAAGCCGTTAGTTCATAAGATCCACTCAACATGGTACGATTAAGCTCCATGATACCACCGCAAGACCCTCATACCTTGCCACGCCAATAAACGCCAAAGTTAAATCTTCAGCCATGCTTGTGTGCTTAAGCAAGCCCTTAACCCCAAACCTAAACCCGAAACCCTGAATCAACAAACCCTGAACCCTGAACCGACAAAACATAAACCCGAAACCCCAAACCCTGATCTTAGATCTGAAGCGCTCTACAAACCGATAGTATCGAAATATGAAGACTTAGCAATACTATTCCTTAGCAGTCCTTGTTGTACTTGTGTCGTGATAGACCCCAAAACCCTAGTCTAAGTACTGAAGCCCCTTAAACTTTAAACCAGATCATATCTTCCCACCCTAAACCCTGTAAGATCTTGTGAACTCTAAATCCATATGTTCGCAGACCCTTATAGACTTCTTCAAGAAGCCCTTAAAGGAACCCTAAGTGCATATGTTCTGCCTCCGAAGCTGTTCAAGGAACCTTTCGGACCGTGGGATACAGGAGCTCCGGAAGAAACAGAAGGACCAGGGATTCAAATTATTAAGGCCCCTACACCCGAAACCCCTTAAAGTAGGCCTTATAGTATCCCTTTAAGGAACCCTTTAAAGGAACCCCCGAAACCCTAATCAAATTCTGTAGCCTTTTAGGGTTCAGGGTGTAGGGTTACTCGAAGGGTTTCTGTTCAGGCGACTGGGAGGGTCTATAAGGTTCGAAAGGGGGTTCAGGGTTTAGGATTAGTATTCGTGTTTTTGTGTTTCAGAATCAGGGGGTCTAAGGCTTAAGGATCTAGTTTGTAATTTCTGGTTGCTCGGGTTGTGGAATGTTTAAGGTTTGTTGGTTCAGGAGATGTGTTCGGGATTTAACGGTGTGGGGATTTGGGAAATAGGCTGGAGTTTACGGTTTAGGGTTTAGGGTAACCCTAAACCCTAAACCCTAAACCGCTGAATTGGAGGTTTCGGGTTGAGGATCTATGGTCAGCAGTAAGACTTGTCCAGAAGATCGGTACCAGGTGCAGTCGTGCATAGATTGTAGTTCGTTGTGCCATCGTTTGTTGCTTTCGTTACATTCCGCCATCCTATGCCTAGGACGATTTTACCGTGATGGCTTGGAGTCCCGATTTTCATCTGCTGTTATTAGTCATGCCCTCTGACTTGGGCGTGTGGTTCTACGGGTTTTGCGATTGCTGACCATTGTCACCGTTGTTGATCAGATTGGGTTGCGTTGCCTGCTGCTGTCATCCTGTCAAATGCTTTTCAGTACCAAGGCCACCAGTGCTACGACGAGAATGCCCGAACACCAACAGGTGAGGGTAATTTCGAGGTGATGCTGATGAGCACGAGGAGGAGGAGGAGGAGGAAAAGGCCGAGGAGCAGGGGGAAGCATATGATGCCGATGCCCGGGATGCTGAACGGAAGCTAGGTAGAGCGGTTAAGGGGTTCATGGTACAGGGACATCGCAACGTGCAAAGCGAGGTCCAACGATGACAGATTCAATCCTTTCGGTCCTGTCCGAACAAAATCCAGCGGGGTTCACCAAAGTTAGGTCTTTGCCGCCAGGATGACGTCATCGTGTGCCCGCAGATCTTAAGCACATCTGCAAACCCGGCGTACGTCGACAAGTACCTCTTTCATGGCGCCGCAAATCTGGAGCAGCATGTAATCCTGACCATTCGACTCTCGCCTAAAATTCGCACCACACGCTTATGAAGTGTCAGATGTAGGCCATGCATCTATAGGCTATCATCTGTGACGGAGTTGCAATCGAATTGATTGGGGGATGGCTCGGTGCCTGCGAAGCCGCATGCCAGAAGCCCTCAACCCCTCACCCTAAAACCCTCCACCCCGGAACCCCAAACCCCACGTCCCACGCCCCGAATCAGTCTTTGCAGCCCCTGGGGTTTAGGGTTTAGGGTTTAGGGTCCTGAGCCCGAATCAGTCCCGAATCAGTCTTTGCAGCCCCTGGGG